TTTTTTTTTTTTTTTTTTTTTTTTTTTTTCCGCTTTAGAGAAAGTAGCTTGGAAGCTTCTTTGTTAAATGTAATGATCCTACTGCATCCATACTGCAAACCTCACATTGTGAGAAATGCAAGACTTGCTGCAAGTCATAAGAAGAGATGGAGAAAAATAAAGAGTAGGATAGAAAGGTGCAAGGAATATAGGCAAGCGACTGATAGAAACCAGATTGCATCATCTCAGAGTGTCCAGCTTGTCAAAGGCACGAACTGAAAGCAGAAATGCACATGAAATACACCAACTATGAGCACAGCAGTGAAGTCAATTGACCATGAAAGCCCTCTCACGCCAACAACATCAATGTTCCCCAATGTCGCTCATCTATTGGCGCTCGTCGCCCAGACTACTGCAGACTGCCACCTATCACCTAGACACCTACTGACTACAACCAGTCTTCATGAAGATCAGCAACCAGACAACGAAGAAGATCCAGCTATGGCGGTCTGTTCATCATCACCAGGTAAGCTCTCTCAAGCCCTGCTTATCCCTCGGCACCCACATTCTACATCCCTTGCCCAAAAGACCACTGCTCAACCTCGGCTATGAGGCCTGCCACCCGGCTATGGTGCAGTGCCCCTCTGCAGCCTTCTATAGCCTTCCTCTTTCACCAGCGCCCACTTGCGCCATCCACCACAATAAGCAGCGCTAGCGCCCAGCAGTTCACAATGCAGCAGCGCTGGCGCACTCTAGCTTCCAGCTAGCGAATGAGACTGCCCTCGCCAAACACTATTTTGTACAGACGCTGCGCGGGCGAGGCAGCTTCAGGAGCCACCGGTGTGTCCCAGTAGCAGCATGCAGCCTTTCCCAGTTCCTTAGCCCAGGGCATTTCCAGCATGTGCCCTGGGCCCCTTACAATTGGAGCCTCAAAAACCCAGGGAGGCTGCTTCCACAAGCGGCTACGTCTGTGCCTGAGATGCTTCGGCCTCCTCAAGAATTCCAGGCCCGTGATTTAGTTGCAACTACCGCAAGGCCCCACATTTTCAGATTTGGCAGTAAGGCCTCACAAAGGAAACGCAGGCCCGGCTTCACTTCAGGTGGGCACAACCAACTTGGGCAGTTTCCAAATGAGCTCGGACCCAATATTTCCATGATCAAGGGCCTTGTGCTTCGCAAAGGAAAGAATCAAAGAAAAAGAAGAATTACACAAGTTCCGTGAGATCGTCAGCAAACATTATTACTGTCGGGAACTGTACGTGGTGGGCTGTTCCTACGTTGACGTCTGGTAGCCTGTGTATGGAGGGATCTTTGTGTAGGAATGAGGCTATTGCTTCCATCACGAAGAGGAAGATTGGGGGCCTAGCAGGTCCCCTTGGCGAACTCACCGAGAGACTGGATAGCAGTCAGAGAGCAAGCCATGGACTTCGACGCATCCTATCACGTCATTATACAGAATGCGCACCCACTTCCTAAAATTTGGGCCCACTCCCATCTCTTCCATGCTTGCGTTGAGGAAGGCCCAGTTGACCTGATCGTAGGCCTTTCAAAATCGAAAAAAAGAATTGTTGTGTTTATCTAGGCTGGTCCCCGGCCCGCCCGGCGGCCTGGTCGCCGCCCGCCGGGGGCGGCGGGCCGACTGGCCGGTTGTCGTGCCCGGTTGGCCACAGGGCGCCCCCAGCGCATCACTATAGGTTAGTTTTTCTTTTTTTTCCGGCACTGGGGTCCTTTTTGCCCCCATGCTAGACTGTGTAGACCACGAAGAGAAAAAAAAAGGGAGCCGGGAGACCCAATTTCACCGATTTGAAATCGGGCCCGATTTGGATTGTCGATCTCAAAGATCGACGGCCCAGATGGGCGCAATTTCAAATCGGTGAGGGCGGGAACTACCGGCGCCTGTTCCATCCCCCATACTCGAGCTGCACCCCCGAGGTCCCCCCGTTCCCTGCCCTGCAGTTGTGCGTTCCGCCGGCCTTCGACGCGCTTCTTCAACGGACCACATCGGCACCTGCCAACMCCCGCCATCGCGCGTGACCCCGCCGTCGCCCGCCAACGGCCGCCATCGCAGTTCCCACCAATCGACAAGGTAAGGGACTTAGTTGGGGAGAGAGAGAGAGAGAGAGAGAGAGAGAGAGAGAGAGAGAGAGAGAGAGAGAGATCTTCTTCTTTTTCTTCTCCTTCTTCTTCTTCTTCTTCTTCTTCTTCGCTTCTTCTTCTTCTTCTACTTCGCTTCTACTTCTTCTTCTTCTTCTTCTTCTTCTTCTTCTTTGCCCCCGTTTCGAGCCCCCCTTGCCACGGTCTCGTGACCCCTGCCCGCCATACTCCACCCTCCTCCTCCTCCTCCTCCTCCTCCTTCGCTTCTTATTCTTCTTCTTCGCCCCCTCCTTCCCTTCTTCTTCTCCTCCTCCTCCTCCTTTGCTTCTTCTTCTTCTTCTTCTTCTTCTCCCCCCCCTCCCTGCCCGCCATCCCTGACACCATTTCCATTTTTTTTTTTAGTCTCTGTCTTGTGCCACGTGGGGCCGCGTTTTGGACCTTCCCCTCGCGCCCAACCTTTCTTACCCCCTGATCATCTTCTTCGTCCTCTTCATCATCATCATCTTCTTCTTCTTCTTCTTCTTCTTCTTCTTCTTCTTCTTCTTCTTCTTCTTCTCTTTCGCTTCTTATTCTCCCCCTCCTTCCCTTCTTCTCCTCCTCCTCCTCCTCCTCCTCCTCCACTTCTTCTTCTTCTTCTCATGCTCCTTCGCTAGTTCTTCTTCTTCTTCTCGTCCTCCTTCGCTAGTTCTTCTTCTTCTTCTTCTT